TGTTTGGTGGGACGGGGATTCGATTGTGTGAGTCGAGTGCCCTTACCACCTGGCCATGCCGGGCAGGGGCTATACAATAATTGATATAAATACTGGAGCTTAAGTAATTTATTTAGTTATTAATTTTTTAATTGAAAACCTTTTTACACGAATAAGGCAAATCGTATAATATTAAGAATAACTGGGTATTATATAGAACGATGCTCACTTACTATTTACATGTCTTCTGAGTAAATATCAGCTTTTCGTTTTCAGACTACAAACCAAGTCCATGAACACCATAAAAAGTAGTGGACGAACAACAGTAAACATAACATGTGACGTTCAAATTGTATTCATAATTCAAGAAAAAAATCCGAATAGTTACGGTATTTTCTACTCAGAAATTCATTCTACGAACAAAACCTACAATGTAAATATATTTGTCGCTTGAAAGTATGAGAAAGAAATATGTGAAGAGGTTCTAATAATTTCTATCGAACATAGTTTAGGCATTATTTTGTTGTTTTTTTAATCTGTATATATATATGTGTGTGAGTGATAATTCATCTTCTTATTACTATTGTACACAAAACAAACAACTTTGTTACATCACTGTGGTTTGTCAAAGGGAATATTTGCGTAATTTTGAACCAATATCTCGAATTAATCCTCATAGTTAGGAGTTATACTGGCATGTGAAAGTGAGGATGAGTCTTACAGTCAAACTGAAACTAGAATTGTTGTATTAACCCTTAAAATGATAATGAAACCAGTATATGGAATTGACCTTTATAATTAATGTAAAGCCAGTATATATATATATATATATAAACCATTTAAAAGTTGTAGAAACCTCTCTTACAATTATAATGGAGACAATATATAATGAAAACCCTTACAATTAGGGTTAAACCACTATGTTAAAATGACTTTTACAATTAAGATTACAGAGTTATTCTTACACGGAATTTTCCCAAAATGTCACGTTTACGATTAAACTGTACTTTCTCGACCATTCTTCCCCACTGATGTTTCACTTTCTTTTTGATTTTCGTAGTCTTTTCTCTTGAAATCTATTTTAGCATATTCAGTAGGCGGGTCGTGCCGTCTTACATTAGTAAAGCAATGACCACTACTAGGAAGGGACAGGTCAGCGTACGTTATGTCTTCAGGTTGCTAAAGAGTAAATAAGAGTACATACATATATTTAAAATATATAACTTCTAACACACACACACATATATCATTTTGGCTCAGAAGTTGAAAAAATGGCGAAAAGTTCTTAAAACCACAAAGACGATCTGCTACTCTACGTTTTTCACTGATTAAAATCTTCATTTCATACTTCCTACAAAAAGTACAGGTAAGGGATTCGGAGTTTTATTGTGTGATTGAAACTACTGAAAAACATAGTCTGGGTGCCCTTTTTAATATGAGAAATAAGTTATGTTTCAAAGTTAGCTCAACATTACATTTAGTTATTCATGAACTCTCCTTTAGGAGGTAGAAGAGGGGATATCTTAGGATACATACAATGACAACAGTGTAAGCCATTCCGTAAGATTTTGACAATAAGGTTAGAATAAACGACTTTTAGTCTCCAGATAATAATAAGAAACGTTTTATTTCTGCCACCGTTTCGCTAATGCGGCTTCATTAGGGCTAGTAGTATAAAATCAGTGGACGTGTGATTACAATCAGGATAGTGTGAGCTCTAAAAATATATTTTAAATTAATTATTTATTGTTATCATACCAGTTTTCCTCCTGCATCTTGTTTAAATAACTGGAAAAAAACGGGTGTCCTCAACGCAGTTTGGCTGCAAGTTCCATAATTCTTTATATATATATATTAAAAGCATTGCACTTTTTGATATGTTTACATCTGATACAATTTTTTTAAATCTTAGTTAATGCGTGAATTTGTTACATGTCTTACTTAATATAGATACTCTCTCTGTCTCCTCTAAATACATTCGGTTTGCTTGTTTGTAGTTAAGTACAAAGCTATAAAATGGGTAATCTGTGCTGCACTCACCACGAGTATCGAAAACCTGCCGCTGTGCCACTTGGAGACCCTCTAAATATATACAGACAAAGATGATATAAAAATGTTTAATTCATTACATTCGAATATCAGAATATGTAATATGTGTTAACATAGTTTACGAACATATCTGTAAATATAATTTCAAGATTCAAATACATTAAATACTTAAATGTATTTTAAGATAAGAGAGAAAGGAATTACTAGTGCGCATAAAATCTAATACCCAGTGTTTAGGACTGTCCATCTCTAACACAAATATTTCTATCTCGCCTATGTTTGTTCTTAATGTACATGTTTGTTTATTGTTGTAAATTCGAACTAGTGAACTTTATATGTGACACGTCAATTCTCTTGGATTGTATTTAGTTGCATGATATGGGAACATATAGATTTGATATGGCACGTGTGTGTGTTATGGTATAGCAGTATCCTCTTTTCTCTGGTAATATTTTAAACACTTTTTCAGACAAGGACAAAATCAGCGTCAGACAACGTAAACCCAAGCACAAACTACATGTGAGAAGGTTAAGATATAGTAAGAGAGGTATCTATAGATGAAAGACCCGTGTAGTGGTAGGAATACATCGTCTATCTAACTTAAACCTTAGCTCGAAAACCTCACATGTGGACTAGTGAAAATGTTTATAAAAATCACGAGAAAATACGTCCTACATAAGAAACTATCATTAACTAGATAACTATAAGAAAGTACTTCCCTCTGATGAAACAAATTTTGAAACGAAAGTAAAACTTATGATACAAAAACATCATATTCAATCCACCTTCAGGACAACCTATTCCATTCCAAGAAATTCAAAATAACAAGAGGTATATTAGGACACGTTCGTTGTTAATGAACTACATTGTTTCTTAGAAATAAGAATACCAATAAAAAGAAACAGACAACAAAATGACAAGTTCATTTGTTATTACACTTCTCTTAAATTCTACTATCGAAACTGAAGTTAGATAACAAATGACTTGCCTTCTCTTACATTGGATTGACCTATCCTTTTTTTTTACGTATCGCAATTAAGAAGTTAGTATGTTAAGTAAACGCTGCCAGTATTTCCTAAATTAGCTCCTAATGTAAGCACAAGGGACATTATATTTTCCGAGAAATGTAACAACAATTGAAAATTGTCTCCCGAGAGATTGTAAATTTGCATTTTAGAAACGAAAGACATTAAACTGATTGTTCTGTTGTAGATTTTGCATTTGCATTTCACATACCTTAACAAGGAATAGATATAAAATAAAAGCGCATTGTTCTCCATACTATTATATTTGATACATTTTAAGCGACTTAATCAAAGACTAAACTCTCCGTCTTATTCAAACTACGTTAGTTGCAGTTTTTAATCTTGAAAACCTTTAGAAAACCCTTATTTCTTTGTTAAATTACATTAGCGACATTGTAGTGCTTTAGTTTAAAGCATAATATGTGGTTAGGAAAGATGTCGGTAAGAAGCATTTTAAAAATGGTCCAAGGCTCGATCCACGATATGCTGTTGAACACGCCTTGCGCTTTTAGCTATGGACACATTTTAAAAGTGACAAATAATTTCAATATTCAGTTAATAATAGCCGTATAGGCGATTGGTGCCGCTGATTAATTGCATTCTCTCTGATTAGCAGCTCTAAATTAAAGATGGTTGTGTCTGAATCTTCGTGGTCTCTGAACTGGCTGCTTAGCCCATGTGTTCTTCGGAAAATATCAGAGGTAAAAAAATACCAAATATCATACAAAGTTACAAATATCGATTGTACGAACGTCAAGCTTTGGAGATATCAATTCCTACAACCAGGTATTTAAAAACTATAAATATGTCACAGATATAAAGTTTAGAATATGTCACATTTTATTGTTCTTTTTATATTTTGTAGCTTCATGCACTATACGAAATTCCTAATACAGAAACAAAATACAATAAAATGTATCTAATCAGAGGAACTAAAAACATTAAGTATTAAAACAGAAAGAAAATATTTCTTATAAATAATAGGTAAACCCAATGGCATTCTTTCAATTGCAATAGGATTATCAGTAACACAAAATATGTTATTCCTACAAACCCAATGATAGAAATAATTACTTAAATCATTACGATGATACATACTGCTGTAACTGAGACCATCCTGTGACTTGAAAGATCTTCAAGGCAACTGGCTGAACATATGGAACTACCGTAATGTGATCCCATAGCGACTGCACAGTCTCTACCTGGAGAATGTAAGTTGTAATTTGTTTTCACGACGTTATTCAGCTGTAAGCATCTTTGATCCTTTTCATCCAAGCTGCCTTCATCAGAAATGCATGAAAACATAGTTAAAAATTTATACTTTTAGATTAACACATTCTCATTACTGTTAGCAGCATAATCAACCCTTCACTGTATGGTGGCTTTTAGTGAACGATTTCCACGTAGTTGTAACATAATCAAACTTAATGATTTGTTGGTTTTTATAGAATGATTTCTATGTACTTGTAACATAATCAAACTTAATGATTTGTTGGTTTTTATAGAATGATTTCTATGTACTTGTAACGTAATCAATTTGATGATGTAATGACTTTAGTAGATGATTTCTGGATATCAATTAGTAGCTATTCAAATTCAATCCTTACAAAATAAAGATCGATATATAGTGAAACTTTATAATATTAAAAAGATAAATGTGAAGCCCAATCTAGTGTTAGAGTTGCCACTTGTGTTTGAGCTATACTGATTTCGAGGACTTCCATCCATCTTCAGTAACCCTGTACAAGGACAAATCGAATGAATAAAACTAGGCTACATATAATAGTGTAGTGTATGCTATACGTATGGTGTTTTGAGACGTATTTTACTAACACAGCGATCCTATATATATATTAAGTCTTGCCATATTCTTTCGATTTGCTCTTGTCCAGCGTTGATAATGAGGGGTGGAATTCCTCAAAAGTGGTATAATCAATGACAAGTGGTATATCGAAAGATAGATTGGGTTTGATATTTATCTTATATTACTTTAAATACTGCATATTCTTGACATCCCAACACACCACATATATTTTATGATATTCATTTTGAGAGGACGTACTTACTTTTTCAATACTTAATTATGACAAACAATGAAAATAAGATAACAAAAAATGCCTAAATCAAATAATAAAATCACTGTAGTCTGTTTGTATGTGTGTGTGTTTGGAGTACATTGTTATAAAATGGTTTATACATATAATCATCGTGCCAAAGACCTTAGTCTGCAATAATTGTACACTGTAAGCATTTACGAAATCGATAAAACTCCATATAATGAAATATCACTTAGCTCTTCATTTGTTTTTGATGGAAAAATTATCGATGTTTGGAAACTATCTTATTTGCTAGTTGTAGCAAAATAAGCACTGATATTTCCAATTGTAACATTTGTAAAATGAACTTTTGTATAATAGGTCAATAGAATAGTCGAAAATTTACAGTCTTGGCCAAAATGTTTGCATATTTTGTAACAAATAAGATCATTGTTATT